GATGGACAATTTATTTTCACAAAGATGGCCTCCTTCACTCCTCTCTCAAACCATCGTTCCTTTCTATCAAGGATGTGCACATCTTCATCCCTGAAAGAGTGACCGCTGGCCTGGAGATGAGTGTAGACCGCAGAATCCTGGCCTGATGATGTTGATCTTCTGTGCTGGGCCATCCTTTTGGCCAATGGCTGTTTAGTTTCTTGCTGTTTTGTTGCAGCTCTTCAGACTGAAGAAATCTTTTGGATAAAAGACGAAACGTTTCATCTAATACAGGGGTGGGCAATTATTTTTTCCATGGGGCCACATGAGAAACAGCAAATATTGTGGAGGGCTGGCACAAATGACTTTTTCATTCAACCTTTATTTAGACAGGTAAATCCCATTGAGCCTCGAGGACTCTTTTACAAGAGAGACCTGATTTCAACTTAACTCAATACTGCATAATAATAGTATTTCATTATTAAACGCAGTACATAGCACTGTTTTAACAAGCTGGTAAGAGTATTTGTTATGATTAAGCAACAAAAAAGCGAGGTTTCCTTACAAAAAATGTCATTTATTCAATTAAATTCCCCAGTACAATGGTAAACTGTTAACATTTTTACCATTGGTGACGTTATATTAATGATAATTTTCAGTCACATTCACCCCAAAATTCATTTTGAGTTTTATATACTGCTGGAAAAAGTTCTTAGCTTTGTAAATATATCACAATATTGTCTTTGTACTCCAAATATTATGAAACATCATATAATAGTGATCGTCACTGAACTGTGATGTCGAGTCCCGGTTCTTTACGTGCCTACATTTGTGGTCTAAACAGCTCATTTGGTGTTTTTCAGTTCTTTTTTCTTGTTTAGTGAGAGAAGTCTAGTCTCTGTTGGGCTTTAACGGAAATGTTAAAGTCAGGTTGAAGGTCTGGGGTGGAGATGTGAAGCAAAGCTGACATCATCAGTGAGAGAGGATCTATATCTGGATTTGGTTAACTTCATTTGTTTACATATGTATTTTGTAATTCCCCTTACGGGGGCCGGTCAGAGTCAACCAAAGGGCCGCATGTGGCCCTGGGGCCGTACAATGCCCAGGTCTGATCTAATAAGAATCCGTCCAGAGGACCTGACTTAACCTTGTTAGATTTACGAATTGAGTTTTTCTTCAGGGAATGTGTTTTGTCTTCTCTCGGCTTCCGTCGATCTACAATGATTGGTGAATGTACAAAATATGGCGGCGTCTGTTAAGCTGTGGAAATTCGTCATGGAGGAATCCTAATTTCAGACTTTTACGGAGGAGTTTTGTTTTCATCTAGTCTGTCTGGAAACATACCACGGTCGAACGAACTGTTAACGCGGAGTTTGCGTTAACTTGACCCCGCAGCTATTAAAAGTTGTTAGCACAACAAGTAACTTCACATCATCGGTGAGTGAGACGAGCTAACGTCGAGCACTGACAATTTTATAAATTAGTTTTAGCCCTTTTGCTTTGGGAGATTTATATATATATGTGTGTGTGTGTGTGTGTGTGTGTTTGCATCACGGTAATGTGGAGATTTTGTTAACTGCAATATTCTAGAAAACACTGAAAATATTTTTGGAGAGATCATCTGCTAGCAATGCAGCTTGCAGACAGAAGTAGAGATGACCATGAAAAATTTGTCTCTAGGACTGTCCAAAGTTGTGCTTTGCATTGATTTTAGACATATTTTCCACACAATTACTAAATTTAATGATTTCACATAAATGTGTTATTTCATTGTAGTTTTTTTTAAAATATTTTTTTATCATAAGCTCTTTCAATCAACAGTTAAATTATTAATAAAATCCAAAAATAGCCCCTTTTTTTTTTTACAATGATGGTTATTAATTCACTACTTAATTAGTTGGTAAAGTAGGTATAAGATAAGCTAATAATATTAATAAATAGGAACGTGTGAATGGTGGCAATTAAGTTATCTCTGGATAGATTCAATAAAACACTGTAGTGCTTTTAAACTTTAACTTTTTAAAAATATTTTCAGCCAATATCATGCCTGCCTTTCGGCAAGTGGGAGAGAAGCAGCTTCCAAACCTCGTTGTTTGTATGGCATGGTCTCCAAAAAGGGATCTGATTGCTCTGGCCAACACAAATGGAGAGGTGGGTATAAAACCAGTTTCTCAAACGGTTTTTGCTGCACCCCCATCGAAGGAAGAAAATTTTCATGTCCCCCGCCTCAGCTCAACAAGACAAAACACTCTAATGTCCCATTCACAAGTCCTACAGCAGGAGAACCACTGATAAATTCATTAAACACATACAAATTATGACAGTCTTTGTATCCTTTCTGTCTTTTGGTATTTATATTATTTTTTGTAGTTGTTACTCCATCGCTTGGCTCATTTCCAGCGTGTTTGGAGCTTACCACCCTGTGAAAGTACTGGAAAGGAGATCACTGCCCTCTTCTGGAGACCTGATGGCAAAAGTAAGCGATAACAAGGAACATGAACACTTTTTATTCTTTGATGAATAGAATCTTAGGATATTCTCATTCCAAATCCCAGTACTAGCCTTCAGTCTCGGTGACACCAAGCAGGTGGTCCTTTGTGGTGTTGAGAAAGCTGAGATCCTCCACATGTTTCAGATGCAAAGCCCTGTAACGTGCATGAACTGGATGGAGGTAACGGAGGACAACAGGTAAACCTGATGCTTACAAGGCACAGCATGATTGTGTCTAATTTTGTGGATAAATGTGCACATGATGTTCTTGTGTGTTTCAGTGTCCTCAGCTCATTTTACAGTTCAGAAGATGAATCCAAACTTTTCCTTCCTAAATTACCAACACTACCCAAAAGGTGATAATGACACTGATTGAACATTAAATTACAAAAGATGCAAGTTTTGGTTTGACTGTGAAACATTTGTCAAAACCTTTATTTTGCAGCTACAGCACAACTTTGAAGATTTTTAGGTAGGAAAGCATTTTGATTACTTATTCTTGGGTCATTAAATATACAAATTGATTTATTTAATTAATTAAATGTTAATTAAACATACATTAATTAAAAATTAATGTATTCTGTCTGTTTTACAGTGAGGAGAAGTCTGATGAGATACTAAACCTGTTTGGAGAAGTTAGGTAAATTATGCTTAGTCCTAAAGCAACACAGAAATACTGTGACATCTTTTTAGTGCAGTGCGTTTTTTTTAAACTGGTTGAAAAAAGTAATTTTACACTGCTTTCTGTGTCCACACAGGCTGAACATACTTGTTCTTGGAGGAGAAAGCGGCTTTGTGGAACTTTATGCTTATGGCATGTACAAGATTGCAACTTTAAGCGGAGTAAGGCTACTTTGTTTATTCATAGGAGTTGTTTAATTTTTCCCTTGAATTGTCCATTGAAACATACTGTAGTTTTCATTCTTATTTTTTATTTTAATTACTACTATATACTAGGGATGGGGCTGATCTGGTATTGGGCTCTGATACCAGCATAATTTACATATTGGATTTTTCCGATCCAACATGCAGAGATTTCCAATCCATGATACATGTCTGTGTCTGATGAAACATCTCCTCATGTGATTCCCTGCCAGCTGCTCTGCATGTTGGCTTCAAACTATGGAATGGATTTCCTGAACGGAGGCGTGTCTCATGGACCCAGAGTAATAAGACCTGCCTCACATTCAGGAAATCCATTTCATAGTTTGCAGCCAGCTACAACGTGCAGTAGCACTGTGGCTAACAGCTAACCAACTTTTCATCGAAACATGTCCACTGTGTGGAAATATTTTACACTAGAAACACCACAAAACAAGACAACAACATGCAATGTCTGCAGAGCCATAGCGCCACATTAAACCACGGTAAAGTTAGTTTACAATGGACATTCAAGGTCTGTCGCTTCAGCGGTTCGCTCCTCTCGCTCAACCCGAAGCAGGCAGCTCGACCCGCACCCAGTCCGCCTCGCTCAGTCTGCCCGTCTCGGACGAGGGGCAGACTGAGCGCGGCTAACCAAAATCAGACTGCCTGCTGCGGATTGAACAAGAAGAAGACATCGCTGAAGCCACGGAGCTCCAATGTTTATTGAGAAGCTGCTAAACTTCATCATAATTAATGACCAAGCACTATCAGTTGTAGAAAACTAAGGATTTTGCAGCTTGATACTTGCAGCCAAGATATAGTTTATCAGTACAACAGTAGACAATCATAAAAAAGCTTATGAATTAAAAAAATACAAGAAAATTATATATATATAAAAAACGAAACTAAAACGGCTACATTATAAAATGATGTAAAATAATAAAAACAGGAACATGTCTGTTGGTTTATGCCATGAACTTAGCAAGTGTTTAAAGCAATTTAATTTTTTTATTTAATTCATTTGTTTAAAAGAAACAAAATGAACAAAACAAATTCATCAAAAAGAAAACATAGAATGAAAAGAGTGAAGAAAGAAAAAAAATTCTTATATCTGCCCCTTATTTAAAAAATTTAATAAAATAACTTTAAACAAACAATCACTTAAATTAATCACTTTAATATCAACTTTAAAGATAGAAATTAAAAAAATGTTTCATGTTAGGATTTAATTCTAACTTTGAAACTCATCCAACATTAATAAAACTTACCTCAAGTTGCCTTTATTTGCATATATTTGTACAAACTGTACTTGAGAGGAGATTATTACAGCCTCATATAAAATCAATAACGATGATGATATCGGAACTGTATCAGTATCGGCCGATATCCAGATTTAGGTATCAGGATTGGATCGGAAGTTTATAAAAAAGTGGATTGGTGCGTCCCTACTATATACTGGTAACAGAGGGACAAACATTATTTTCATCACATAGTTATAAAGTAAATGCACAAGGATTTGTAAATCAAAATGATTAACATTTCAAACATTCTAATGTAAAATGTATGTAATAGAATGTATAGTAACAAGTATCATCATAACATAAACTCATTTTACAGGTTTCAGGGACATGTCAGAGTCTGAGTCTGTCCAGTGACCTCAAGTCTCTGTCTGTCATCACAAAAGTCAGGTCTGCTGACAACAGAGCAGAGATCTGCTACATCCAGGTGAGAAAAATGGATGGGGCTTCTCTTCACTTCCACACATGTGCATATTCTACAAACTATTCAATGTACCCGGGGTTTCTTTAAGAGATCTGGCTTAACTTACATTGACAATAAAGAGTTGTGCTCAGTCGTATCACAGAACTGGTTATTTTTTTAATTTTATTTTATAAATGTATTGATTTTTTTAAAAACAGAACAAAACAATTCCATAAACAATAAGAAATACAATCAAAGTTAACTTTAATAACTATGAACAACTCTTTTCTAACCAGTAATGTTTCAACTGTTGTCTTTGTGCTTCAGCTGGACACAAGCTTGTTGTCAGACTGTCTGCCTGAACTCACCAGGATGGCACGCAAGTTCACCCACATCTCCACCCTGCTGCAGTACCTGCACCTCTCACTTACCTGCATGTGTGAAGCATGGGAGGACATCCTGATGCAGATGGATCTTCGTCTCACCAAGTTTGTTCAGGTTACTTGTTTGTTTTCTAAAGGCCATATTTTAAGCAGAAAAGCACAAGCAGATACTGAGGAGCGCTACTGAAACTGTTCAGATGAGGGTTTGTGCATCTATAAAAACTATAACATTCTTTCCACATATATGTTTTGTCCTTGTTGTGATAACTTTATATTTAATATATATATATATTTTTAAATATTTACAAACTACTCCTTGAGAAAGATACACCCAGAACAACTTTTCCTACTTATGGGTCTTGATTAGTTCCCTGAAAAGACTGAGAACACCAACACTTGAAAATATAAAGCCCTAAAACTTTAGTTCATAAAACTAGAAAAACAGATTACTGAAAAAACACTCAAATTAAATTGAGGTAATCCAGAGAAAGTAACCACTTGTCTTAACTCGCAGGGCGGCTGTGGCTGAGTGGTTAGAGCAGTCATCGTCCTCCAATGAGAGAGTTGGGGGTTTGATTCCATCAGCAGTCACATGTTGAAGTGTCACTGGCCAAGACACTGAACCCCTCATTGCCTCCTGTGTGTGTTCCATTGGTGTATGAATGTGATAAAGCTCTGATTATTCTTTGTAGAGATCTATTAGAGTTCTGTATGAATGGGTAAATGAGGGCACAGATTGTTGTAAAGAGCTCTGAGTGTCTTGATAAGAGAAAAGCATTATATAAGTACAGTCCATTTACCATTTATCTCCTTAATTTGCAGGAAAAAAACACAAGCACCCAAGTCCAAGATGAGTTTTTGGAGCTCCTGCTTTGGGGACAATCAAGGTGGAAATCGATTTTACTTGTTTTCGCAATAATATGTTGTAATGTTGTAATATTTCAAGTGTCCTGTAGATGCCAGCAGCATATCTGGAGCTGGTTAAAATATTGACTGTCAACAAATGTAGACATCTCACAGGACAGAACAATCCATCCATCCTTTATCTTTACCCGCTTATTCCTTTTTGGGTCACATGGGTCACTAGTGCCCATATCCAGCAGTCACTGTGCGAGAGGCATGGTACACCCTGGACAGGTCTCCAGTCCATCACAGGGACACAAAGAGACAAATGAGACAAACCACCATTCACTCTTTCACTCACCTAGGGACAATTTAGAGTTACCAGTCAGTCTAACATGCATGTTTTTGGTCTGAGGGAGGAAACCGGAGTACCTGGAGAAAACTCACGCATCACGGAGAGAACATGCGAACTTCACCCAGAATGGGATTCAGTCCAGCGACCTTCTCGCAGAGAGGCAGCAGCTGTACCAACTGAGCCACTGCGCTGCCCAGAACAATCCAATCCAACTTTATTTGTAAAGCACTTTACACACCACAGCAGACCAAAGTGCTGTGTAGTGAGATAGGTCGGTTAGCTTCGTTAGCTTCGGAGCTCCACTACATGTTATAATATCTGGACTAGTTCAAGTACCTGATATTATACTTAATTTAAACGGGTTCTCTCTTTTTCGAGCTACTTGACAGATATGTGACAGAGATCAGTGACGTGAGACGTTAATTTTCTTTGACCCATCAAAATGAATGCGGTCATTTATTAACAGAATCAAAGTTTAACATCAAACATTGTACACGTGATTATTCTGATTGAAGCAATAACACAGCTTAATTACAACAGACATTTATGAAAATATCTGGATGATTTACTGGCAAGATAGAAGAGTTTAAAGATGGGAAATGAAGGAGTTTAAATGGAGAGAGATGGGTGAAGATGTATGTGTCTGTATAAGATGTAGGTCTGTAGACCAGAACGACAACACGCTCCCTTGGATGCAGCTTAACCCACGGTACACTTTGGTTGAGATCGACTCTTTACCTTTGCAGATGATAGTTTCGGCGTCGGTGTAGAGTTTCCTTTCAGCTCTTTCCAGCGTCTCCGTAAGAACAGCTAAAACCTCAGGAGTCGTGAGATCATCCCAGAACAGACTTCTTCATAGTTCCTCTGAACTTCTCTTGTTCAGGGACTTCTCGTTCGAGGTTCTCCCTGGAACGTTGTTCAGCTTAGTTGCCGTTGTTCTCCAGCATTCTGCATTCCAGCATTCTGAACTCTGCTGCTCTCCATTCCTTCATTCTCCGTTCTACATTCCAGCATTCTCTATGGAACTAGGAAGTGTTGAACCTTTTAAAGAGGTCACTTCCGGTTCCTCTGAGAACTTCCTGATTGGTCGATAGACCCAACAGGGGTGTGGTCTTAGTGATGTAAGAGGTTATTAAAAGTCAAGGAAAAAGATTAGATTGTTTAAGAACAGACAGAAGATGTTTTGAAGAAATTGAGACTTTTGGAGCCAGTTCTCCCATATCTGTCTGAAAAAGTTAAACATGACATTTCTTTCCAGTAAACGTAGTTGACCGAAACTTGACTTTTGACCGACTTACACTTGCTCATTTCAGACAGAAAATCAAAATGCATAATTACTCTGTAACAGACATTAACTAGATTTCTACTTTGAATGAGGATTAAAAATCATTTATACTGTTTCACAGTTGATTTAAAATGAGTAGTTCACTTCAACATTTAAAATGGTTTGAACTAAACACACTTTTGATTATCAAGACATTTGTAAAATAGTAATGATAATAAAAAAGAGAGTGTTCTTTCAATTGATCAGTGCAGGACACACTTAGAAAGTCTCTGGATGAACTTAATTTTGTGTTTCTGGACTCAAATCAATGAAATGACAGTTCTTGTCCCAGGAAGGCCCTCAGGGCCAGATTTGACCTGAGGCTTAGTTCACTACAGCTGTATAGAATCACATTAAAGCACGGCTCACGCAATACAAAATACAATTAAAAACACGTAGTGAGTAGTAAAACCAAGTAATAAAAAATGGTAAAATGCACAAGATCAAATCAAACAATAAAAACAATAAAACCTACAAAAATAAAACTCAGGTAAAAATGAATATAAACAACCCTTTACAGGGTGTTAAAAATCAAAGAAAGCAAGTGGGTTTTAAGATGAGTTATTAAACATAATGTAGAGGCCTGTCTGAGATGGAGGAGATGGAATTTGGGGAGCGCTGTAAAATAACTATGCCACACTATTTTGGTTCACAATCAAACAAACACTTGGAACAAAAAAAAAAAAAGTTACATGTACAGACATACATATATTTTATTTGACTGCCTAAATTAGATAGAGATCCTTAAAGATCATGAATGACTATACTGTTACCCCAATGAGGCAGGGGCCCCCTGCAGCAACATCTGGCCATCCACTTACCCCTGAACCTGTATAGAGTCTCAGCTTTGATTCCACGGGGGGGGGGGGGGGGGGGGTCACACACTTACCTACCTGGAGGAGGAACAACAGCTAGTGCCAGCAACCAACAGCCAGCAATGAGGCCAGAGCTAATCAACCAACCCACAGGGTTTCATGGCCAGCAGCTACAGTATCATGCCCCAGTTCACCAGCCCCATGATGGAGGAGTGGATGCACAGCGCACACCCACACCCCCAATTCTGTCACCTTATGCGGATCACTATGCTGTTCCACCTCAGACCGGCATGCATGTGACCACAGCTCCCCTACCACCTCAAACTCTGACGGGGAACCAGATTATGCAGCAGCCCGCTGCTCCAACCATCTACCCACACCTAACAGGGGTTTATCAGCCAGCCAGAACCCTGCTGCTTATATTGGTTCTCCCACTGTGCCCCAAGCCCCCCTGTACTCATCGGCCAGCGGTTTTAATCCAAACAGGCCCAACCCTCAATTTAGGAATCAAGTCGCTTACAATCACACAGATTCTTTCTACGGACACAGCCGGACTGCTTACGGTGGATTCCTGCAGACCCACCAGGTGAGAAATGGCCCTATCTTCACCGGTAACGCCGATAGTAGGTTGCTGGTGGAAGATTGGATTTGGGACATGCATTATCTCCTGGAAGCGATAGAGCTCCCACCACACCTGCGATTTTCCACTGTGGTGCGTCATCTGCGTGGTGAGGCCCGGAAATTAGTTCTGAACCTACCTCCTTACGACTAAACCTCTGAGATGGCATTTAAAGAACTGAGGGTCGAGTATGGCGACACACAGAGCTCCCTAGACCCACTGGCTGACTTTTATGAGCGGATGCAAAGACCGGGGGAGTCTGCCTGCTCATATCCAATATCATTGGAAGCAAATTTGAGAGTGGTAGAGGACAGCCAAAGGTGAGGCAAGCCATTCCCAGACTGGGACTGCAGACTTACTCTGCAGTTTTTAAGGGGTCTTAATGATGAGGAGGTATATATGAGAATTGCTCCACTTAAGCCCAGACTCTTAATCTTCCGGGAGCTACAGGCTGAGCTCAGAGACATGACCAAAGAAACAAAAAAGTTCCAGTCACTCCACAAGTCAAAGCGAGCTCACACCCAGATTCAGACTGCACCAGGCAGTAGCCCAACTGTGAAGATGGAGAAGACTAACCATGCATCAGAGTTGTCAGAGCTCACGGAACTGGTTAAAAATTTAGCTCTTTGTCAAGCAGAGCAAATGGCTAAATTAACCTACCTTGAATCAAGAGTTGCTGCTCCGCCCCCCATCCCATCACCACGAGTCCATGCACTCATAGGACCTCCAACCCAAACCCAAACTTCAAACATGACATGCTACAGATGCAGGAAACAAGGACACATAGCCAGAGTCTGCAGAGCAGTGTTACCAGAGCCCAGTCAGGTGGATGGGAACATACCCCACCTAGCTCAGCCTTTAAACGGGTAGAGCCTGTGGTCACCGGCGCAACCATGGGCGAGCAGTCAGACCCCCATCCACAAGACATAAAGACCACTGATGTAGGAGGAAGCACCCCACTAGTGGGCCCTAGAAACGAAGGGGAGGTGGAAGTCAATGAAATGAAATGCAGAGCACTCATTGACTCTGGCTCTCAAATAACCAGTATTACCTACAGCTATTGGCGCAGCCACCTTATCCTTCAGAAACAGAGGTTACAGCCCTCTTTGATACCTATAGAAGGTGCAGCCGGTCAGAGTGTAACCCACCATGGTGTTCTCCGCATTAACTTGAAAGTGTTGGAAAAAGAGTTTAAGAATGTACCAGCTTTTGTGGTTAAGGACTCAGAATATCGCCTTTCTGTCCCTCTGCTGATAGGAACTAATGTTCTCCGTGCCTCCAGAACCCATCTCCAAGCAACTTACGGCCAGCAATTCCTCCAGTATGTCAAAGAGAGTCATCCAGAGTGGTACACCTCTCTGTTGGAGGTGGGCGACACAGGACATTATAATGTGGAGGACAGGGTGGGTCCGGCTGTGTATAAAGGCCACAAAATACACATCCCTGGGGGAAAAGAAATGGATCTAATGTGCAAGGTGACAGCCGGCCCACGGAGAAGGATTTACACTGCAGATTGAGGGCCACCACTCCCTACAGCTTCCTCAAGACCTCCTGGTCGCCAAAGTCCTTGCTGATGTGAAAGGAGGATGCACCCCTGTCAGAGTGATGAACCTGTCTCAACATTCCATTACCATCAAGCCACACACACACCTAGCCAATGTGTCCCTAGTAGATGGTGTTGTGGATTTCTCAGACAAAAAGCAGAGCAAAAGCCATGGAAGCAGGTCCAAAGAGATATGTCTGAGTCTGACTCAGGCAATATCAAGTTGTGGTGTGGACTTAAGTGAGGCTGCAGTCGAAGATGAGCACCAGGGCTCCATCCTTAAAGACCTGGTGGATAGTAATGTCGATGTGTTCTCCCACTATCCTCTGGATTATGGTCACACAAAGACGGTACAACACGAAATCCCACTGGTGGATTCTAAGCCTTTCCGACTCCCCTATCACAAGATTCCCCCATCACAATGGCAAGATGTCAGGAAGATGCTGATCGAGATGGAGGTGGCAGGGGTCATAAGGCACAGTAAGAGAACATACACTTCACCTGTAGTGGTTGTGACAAAAAAAGACGGCTCGCTACGGTTGTGTATCGACTACCGTAAATTGAACTCCTGCAGCACAAGAGATGCATTCCCCCTGCCAAGAATAGAGGAGGCTCTGGAAGCATTGGGACAGGCCAAGTTCTTCGCCACGCTTGACCTCACATCAGGCTATTGGCAGGTGGAGGTGGCGGAGCAGGACAAGCACAAAACAGCATTCAGTACACCGATGGGTCTGTTAGAGGCCAACCGAATGCCTTTTGTGTTACAGAATGCTCCATCAACTTTCCAAAGACTCATTACTTGCTGTTTTGGAGACTTGAACTTCACACACCTCCTGATCTATCTGGACGACCTCATTATCTTTTCTAAAACCTTTGATGAGCATTTAAACAGACTGCAGTTGGTGTTTGATCGTCTTCGGGAGCATGGTCTAAAGCTTAAACCATCCAAATGCCAGCTGATGAGGAAAGAAGTGCAGTACCTGGGTCACCTGGTATCTGCGGAGGGAATCCGAACTGACCCAGAGAAGATTCGTAGAGTGAAAGACTGGACCAGGCCAACAAACCGCAGGGAGGTAATGCAACTTCTGGGGTTTGCGGTCTACTACAGGCGATATGTCAGTGGATACTCTGTCCTGGCAGCTCCCTTATACAGACTCACAGGTGGTGACCCAAAAATGAAGAAAAGAAGGGTGAAAAGGGGCCTGACACCAGACCCACCCTTCTTATGGACTGGGGAATGTGAGGAAGCATTCTTGACTTTAAAACACAGACTCACGACTGCGCCAGTGTTGGGTTACCCAGACTACAACTTACCGTTTATCCTTCAGACAGATGTATCAGGGGAGGGACTCGGTGCTGTTCTGGTCCAGGTTCAAGATGGCACTGAGAGAGTCATAGCTTTCGCTAGCCGAAGGTTGAGTCCAGCTGAGGCGAGGTATCCTGCTCACAAGCTGGAGTTCCTCGCCCTGAAGTGGGCGGTAACAGACAAATTCTATGACCATCTCTATGGGCGCAGGTTCTCAGTCCAGACCGACAATAACCCCCTCAAGTACATCATGAGCTCTGCAAAGTTGGATGCCACGGGGCAACGGTGGGTGTCCCGTTTGGCTGCTTTTGACTTTGATGTCCAGTACCGGAGAGGCCAGAGCAACGCTAATGCTGATTCCCTCTCCCGTATGTCAAATCAAGAGGTCACTGAGACCCTACAATCGTGCCCTCTGCGGGTGCACACTAGAAAGCCCCAACTGGGTGCAGGACAATCCACACAAGATCCAGAAAGCTCCTCAAGCCAGAACACGCTGGCCTCAAGTAACCTGGACTCTGAATCCCTGGGATCTAATGAGCCATACGGAGACACAGGTATGGAATCACTCCCCGCCATGAAAAAACAAGAGATCCGTGCAGGGCAAAAGGAGGATCCTGTTATTGGTCCTGTCTGGCACTACAAAAGTCGAAATTTGAAACCCAGCCGCACTGAGAGGGTCAACGGTGGCTGACAGATCTCTCTTCTCCTAAAAGAGTGGAAGAGGTTAGTGATAAGAGACGGTATCATGTATCGCCGCAGCCGTGATCACCAAAGAGGAGTCGTGGAGCAGCTAGTGCTACCAGAGAAGCTGTGTGAGGGAGCTATGAAGGCTCTTCACAATGACTCAGGACACTTGGGTTTTGAGAGGACAGTTCAGATGTTAAGAGAGAGGCTTCATTGGCCTCGGATGTTCCAAGAGATCAAGATCTGGTGTGAGCAGTGTGAGAGATGCTGGCTCAGGAAAACGCCAACTTTGGGAGTCAATGCCCCACTGGTCAGTGTCCACAGTAGTGCCCCCATGGAACTAGTGTGCATAGATTTTTTGACTTGGGAAAAGTCAAAGGGTGGAATAGAGAACGTCCTTGTGGTCACTGACCATTTTTCACGCTACGCACAGGCGTACCCCACTAAAGATCAAAAGGCCAACATGGTGGCCAAGGTGTTGTGGAGAAACTTTTTCCTGCCGGTTTGGGTTTCCTGCTAAGTTGCACACTGACCAAGGATGCAACTTTGAAAATGCTGTAGTGAAGGGGCTGTGCAAGTGTGTGGGCATCACTAAAACCCACACAACCCCCTGCCACCCCCCAGGCAATGGCACCACTGAGCGGTTCAACCACACCCTCATGAACATGCTTGGAACGTTAGAGCCACACCTGAAACCTCGGTGGCACGAGCACTTGGATGCAATGACCCATGCATACATCTGTTCACGCCATGACTCTACTGGGTATACACCACACTTTTTGATGTTTGGCAGACATCCTAGACTCCCAATTGACCTTGTATTTGGGCTCCAGACCACTAATGAGCCAGGTGAATACAGGGAGTATGTACAAAGGCTGCATGACTGTCTGTCACATGCATACGCCCAGGCAAACCAGACCTCTCACCAGGCCAAAAGCCAACAGAAAAAATACTATGACCAAAAGGCAAAGGGTCAGGCTTTCAACCCAGGGGACAGAGTCTTAGTCAAGCTCTGTCATGTGAAGGGACGGCAAAAACTAGGCGACAAGTGGGAGTCTCAGCCTTACATTGTGGTGAAAAAGCAACCCAACATACCCATGTATGTGGTGCGGCGAGAAAACGGTGATACTGAGAGGGTGGTCCACCAGAACCTTCTGACCCAATGTATGTTTCTCCCAGTAGAGCAGGCAGAGGTGGTGACAGCAGGAGAGATTGAGTCGGGCACAGCAGACGAGGAGAGAACGGTGAACACAAAAAATATGACAAGACAAGCCTGTGGAGTGACCATGCAGGGGACAGAGGACTCAGAACCCGATGAGTTGGAGGAAAATGTGGAGGAAATTGCTGATGAAACAACAAACAAACAGGTTGAGCTGCATGGAGTAAAAGGAGTAAATATACCAGACAGGAAAAATGAAGGAAGGAGGGAACATGTAACAGATAGGGGTATCAGTTCAGTCCACAGACCCAGTGTGCTAAGAAGGAACATGCTGAGGAGTCGGCACCCTCCAAAGAGATTCTCCTGTGAGTCACAAGTAGTGGAAACTGAGGACATTCAACAGAAGATAAAAAGAGGACGGAAGCTGTGGCAGAGAGCTAAAGCCAGAAGAGCACTAAAACTCAGCATGTCACAGCTAGATAACTCACCTTAGTGGGGCACATGCTAGCCATTACACTACCACACACACCACACTGTATTCTGTTCTTTCATTTCTGTATTTAATGTTATATTGTATTTAGTCTGATGACTGGGACGTCATCAATTAGACAAGGGGTGGATGTAGGGCAGTGGCTTAAATATGTCAGCAGAGGCTGCCAAGGTGTCATATTTGTTCTGTGGGTTCAGGCAGATGGTGTAATTTGTTCTTCAATGGACACCGTACTTTGGCTTCTGCTACCGTGAGCGGGCAGGATTTCAATCAGTGTTTGCGTATGGTTTGTAAGGTGAAGCCGCTGGCAAGTGCACCAAATAAACTTCATGGTCTCAACCATGATCCAAACCACCATGTGTCTGACTCCTGCCTCACCCTGCACTCCGACAACAACCCATAATACACAACGCAGAGCTTTCGGAAGTAGTGAGGTGCCATTTCACACGGATAGGGTTACATCGGTTTCAGCACAAGTTAAGTCCTGCCCCCTCCACATAAGCAGGCCGATCAATGCCTATGGTTAAAAAATGAAGCAAAACACTTGAGATTATTTATTTTTCTGATGATGACTTTCGTTGATTCATATATTTTTTAACTTGCTGTTTGTTTGAAAATAAATTTTCTAAAAGGTTAGCTGTAATGTGTTATTTCACGCTTAAAGAAAGCTCATGTCATACTATGATTGTGTGCAGGGGAGTAGGCAGGACTTAAAGCCCCATTTCACTAGTGCACCCACTCTGGTCCCATAAATGTAACAAGGCACCTTCTGTAAAATGTGATACTGTGTTTGTAATTCTCAGCAATGAAGGAAGGTGGGCCATTACGGCTAGGGATTTTTTTTTGGGGGGGGGGGGGGGGGGGTTTAGTGTAACAGCTGTGGGCGGCACGGTGGTGCAGTTGGTAGGGCTGCCACCTCTCAGCAAGAAAGTTGTCTGATTGAATCCCGTCAGGGGACATTCTGGGTGGAGTTTGCACGTTCTCATCTTCTCGTGGCTTTTCTCCGGGTACTCTGGTTTCCTCCCACAGACCAAAAACATGCATGTTAGGCTGATTGGTAACTCTAAATTGTCCTTAGGTGAGAGAGTGAGTGGTTGTTTGTCTCTGTGTCCCTGTGATGGACTGGAGGCCGGACCAGGGTGTCCCCGCCTCTCACACAGTGACTGCTGGATATGGGTACCAGTGACCCCCGCAACCAGAAAAAGAAGCGGGTAAAAAATGGATGGATTAATTAAACAGCTTTTAAAAGGATTTGGGTTTGATGTTTGTAGTAAATATTATCACTCACTGTCTGTTTCAGCCCTGAACTACAGGCTCTTCTCATGAACCAGTTGACTGTCAAGGTGAGATGAAGAAAGCTGAAACACATCTTCTCTCTGAAGACTTTTTTTTTTCTTTTTGATAAATTTGATGTTGCAGACCAGATTTGTTTGGCTGTGTATTTGAAAATCACATTTTTCATGTTGATATGTGTTACAATTCCATTTTAGGGCCTGAAAAAACTCGGTCAGTCCATTGAGTCTTCTTACTCCAGCATTCAGAAGCTTGTGATCAGCCACCTGCAGAGGTATTTTCTGTTTCGCTTCTGGTCATCAGTGTGACTGTTGTTTTTTTTTTTTTTTTTTTCTCATTAAAAACGTCTCTGTCCGTGTCGTGCAGCGGCTCAGAGGCTCTGCTGTATCACCTTAGCGAGGTGAGAGGAATGTCTTTATGGAAGCAAAAGTTTGAGCGTCTCGGTTTGGATTCAGATGCAATTGATGGTACACTTTTTCATACCGACTCAGTCCTTTTCAGGGTCACATTCATAAATAGAAATAAATCAGTTCTTTTGGTATTAGTAAAGACATGTTTGTGCTGTGTGCAGGTGCCATCACAGCTGTGGGCTCTTTCTCTCTCAAAGCCAATGAACTTCTGCAGTAAGTTTGTAAACAAACAAATAGTTTCTGTATGTGACCTTTTCGTTTTGTCATATTGCAACTTTTATTTGAACATTTAGGGTGATTGACAAGAGTATGAAAAACTTCAAAGCCTTTTTTCGGTGGCTGTATGTGGGTGAGAGTTTTATTATTAAATTTGAAGTGTTTCTTAATATTAATGACATTTGTAGCTTTTGTAGCCTTTTGAGAACCAGCTTATTAAATTGTAATTGTCTGATTTCTTCACGCTGCATTTTGTTTTCCTGCAGCAATGCTAAGAATGTGTGATGAACATGTACCACCAGAGCTAAACAAGGTGAGTTTGACCACATATCTGAAACTTTTAGTCGTGGTGAAATGGTTCATTATTTTGTTTTATTTCTTAGATGACTCAGAAGGACATTGCCTTTGTTGCCGATTTCCTGTCTGAGCATTTTAGTGAGGTGAGATTAGTTGATTAGTACACTGACCAGAAAATAAACATTTTTGTTCATTCTTAACTATTTGTGTTTACTGGTTTAACAGAATGAGGAACTTTTTAATCGTAAGGGAAAGTACTTTAATGTGGAGCGAGTTGGTCAGGTAAATGGGTTTGTACTAACTTCAAATAGAAGTTATCATCTTATACTGAACAAAAACCTAAACGCAATACTTGTTTTTGCTCCCATTTTTCATGAGCTGAACTCAAAGATCTAAGACTGTTAGGATAATTTATTATTATCCTTTCAATAACTCATTCAATAAATAGCCACACAGGAGAGGTAGATATTTTCTTAATCCCAGGTTTTAATCTTGCAAGATGAAGCAGTGTTTAAATACACGCATCAAAATGTTACATGATGCTCCGTCCCAAGTCTGCTCGCCGAGAGCCTAAAAGTGCGTTTTTTTGTAAATGTTATCAGACAAAGGCAAGGTCAGACAACTGCTGCAGCCTCTTGCAGCACTCTCATCCAGACAAAACGACTCTTCAACACACACACATGGTAATATTATTACATTTGACTTCAGTAAGTGAAAAGCATCTGCGACTTTTCACATCTCCATCAACGACTTTTTCTATTAACACAAAAGGCCATTTTCTCTCAAATATTGTTCACTAATTTGTGTAAATCTGTTAGTGAGCACTTCTTTGCTGAGATAATCCATCCACCTCACGGTTACAGAGCATGATTATAGCACAGGTCAGCCTGGCTGACCACAATAAAAGGCCACTCTAAAATGTGCAGCACATGGACACAGATGCAGCAAGTTTTGAGGGAGCATGCAATAATCATGCTGACTGCAGGAATGCCCCCCCAGAGCTGTTGCCTGTGAATTGAATGTTCATTTCTCTACCTTACGCCACCTCAAAAGGTTTTTCAGAGAATTTGGCAGTACATTCAACCGGCCTCACAATGGCAGACCTCGTGTAACCTCACCAGCCCAGGACCTTCACCACATCCAGCATCTTCACCTCCAAGATTGTCTGAGACCAGCCACCTGGACAGCTGCTGCAGCAATCAGGTTGCATAACCAATGAATTTCTTCACAAACTGTCAGAAACCGTCTCAGGGAAGCTCAACTGCACACCTGCCATCCTCATCGGGGTCTGCACCTGACTGCAGTTTGTCATCATAACGGACTTAAGTGGGCAAATGTTCACATTCAGTTGTGTACGGCACATTGGAGAGATGCTCTCTGCACAGATGAATTGGCAGATGGCAGACTGCATGTATGACGTCATGTGGGTGAGCGGTTTGCTGATGTCGGCGTTCTGAATGGAGTAGTCCATGGTGGCGGTGTGGTTCTGGTATGGGCAGACGTATATTATGGTCACTGAACACAGGTGAATTTCATCATGACATTTTATTGCACAGAAATACTGTGATGAAATTCTGAGACCCATTCTTGTGTCATTCATCCACGACCATCACCTCATGTTGCAGCATGATAATGCACGGCCCCGTGTTGCAAGCATTTGTACACAATTCCTGGAAGCTGAAAACATCCCAGTTCTTGCGTGGCCAGCATGCTCACCGGACATGTTGCCCATTGATCATGTTTGGGATGCTCTGGATCAGCGTATATGACAGCGTGTTCCTGTTCCTGAACACATCCAGCAACTGCACACCACCAGACCAACAATCCACAGGCAACCATCAACAACCTGATCAACTCTGTGTGAAGGAGATGTGTTGCACTGAGTGAGGCCACACCAGATACTGACTGGTTTTCTGACCTCCTAATATAATAAAAGTAAACTGCACATTTTAGAGTGGCCTTTTATTGTGGTCAGCCTAAGGCTCACCTGTGCTATAATCATGCTGTCTAATCAGCACCTTGATATGCCACACCTGTGGGTGGATGGATTATCTCAGCAAAGGAGAAATGCTCACTAACACAGATTTACACATATTAGTGAACAATATTTGAGAGAAAAATGTGTTTTGTGAGAATAGGAAAAAATCTTAGATCTTTGAGTTCAACTCATGAAAAATGAAAGCAAAAAACAGAAGTGTTGCGTTTATATTTTTGTTCAGTGTAGATCATGATGGTTTGTCTTGCAGTACCTTAAAGACGAGGATGAAGACCTTGTGTCGCCACCCAACACAACGGAGAACCAGTGGCTGAAGTTTTTACAACAGAGCACATATCTGAAGGGTAATCGGTGATCTTGAGTTGAGACAGCTAAATTGTTTCATAGTAAAGGGGTTAAATAGTTTGTTACAGAATTACTTTGCTGTATTACTACAATAACTAAACATTTACTTTGTAGAGAGTCCTTTGGTGTTTCCATCATATCCCCAGAAGTCTTTGCACTTTGTCAAGAAGATGATGGAGACTGTGATCGAACAGTGCCTACAGGAACCCTCTGTATGTTGTTTTGTGCCACACATTTTACTTTTTCATTAGCACACATAAGCATTTTGTTACAAATCTCAGAAACTTGGTATTATTGTCTGAGCATCTCTTGTTTCTCTTAAATATGTTTGTTTGTTTGCAGGAAGTAATTGGAAAATCAGTAAAACAGGCGGTCTTTTTGCCTTTGTACACCATGCCAGAGAAGTAACGTCTTATATGTCTTCTTATAATAAACACCTCAAATATGTTTTCAAATTGAATGGAGGTGTAATGAATGTGATAAAACTTTTGTTTTTGTTTGTTTTTAGGATGGAAAACACTCCACGATTTTTTGAACTTCCATCTTTGTATGCAAAACACAAACATCAATTTTGCATTTGTAACAGTAAGACTGCAGCGTGTTTATATTTGTTCTGAACCCACAGGTGGAATGATAAAAAAGCCAAAACACACTGTGTTGTGTTCTGCATGCCAGAGGTCTCACCATCCAGACTCTACATATTAAAGAAGGGAACCGATTCGAACAGGTACATTTCAAGTTTTTTGGGAGATTTTTTTGTAGGTTTCCTTGTTACTTTACATTCTTTATAATTATCTTTGTTCTGTTGTTACAGACACATTCCAAACAGTTTGATGTGTGTTGACCTCAGCCATTATCTTGACGATACAGATGGGGACGGTGCTGCAGCCCAGTGAGTGCTGCTTATCTTGTATGGGAGTCAAAGGGTTTATTTACTGCATTAGCAGGTAAAAAGGTGTTGATTCTTCTGTAATTTACAGCCAGTTTATCTTTTTTTTTAGGTCTCAGTGTGTCTTCAGCTGCCTGGATGCTTGTTTTTATGACAATGAAATGCTAACAGTGGTTCTGCAAGGACCGGAGAAACTAAACAGCAGATGTGTCCTGGCTCAGCTTCCTCTTGCCTCAACCTTAAGCTGTGAAACTGAAGTTAGCCTGGACCCCAATGTGAGGTGTGTTTTTAGATCAGTTTTCTCTTTCAAAACAATAATTTAGATATGTTAAAGTAAAGAACTGTTATAAATTAATTGAAGTTCAGTGACAATATTATTAATAATATCTAACCTTTTTTTTAAGATAACTTTTTGAATATCCTCATAAATAAAATTTAATTCTGACCTAAGTGATGTCCTGAAACAGCTTGGTCTCAAAAATTCACAACACTTCACAGAAATGCTAGTTTTTTTAACTATACTTTGCTGTCAATTTGACTTTACATGTTTATTTACATGAAACTCTTTAATTATTTGTAAGCACAAAAGCAACAGCAGCACAAAGATGAAGCACTTTCAGTGCAGCTCAGGGCACTTCCCTGTATTTCTTAACAAGAGTGAAATACAGGGCCACTCAACTGGCAGTAAGTTCATTACTTGCAATAAATAAAATAAAATCAGAAAAAAACTGTGAGACCTTTAAAAAAAATTGAATTGGCAAATATTTCAGTCAGAGAGGCAATCTTGTTTCGTGCCCATCTCAGTTTATAACATTTTCACAAGCTTGCACAAATATCTCTTCCACACTGAAAGCATGTTCTTACATGACACAATGCAAAGCATCACTCTGTCACTTCTTTTTTAAGGGAGGATCTTCACTGCAACCACTATTTAACCATATGTACCCGGAACAGTCTCTGGCTCCTGGTGTCAGTTTACAGTCAACAACAGACTTCATCATAAATAACAAAGCAAACTTGAACAGGACATTAAAAAGAACAACTCATTTCCACTCAGAAACATCATAAACACTCAGAAACATTACATATATAATTTCCACAAGGCTACTCAGCATGCTTTGCAGCTCACACAGTCTCTCTGGGACTCTCTCGCAGAGAGAACTTTGAGAGTTTGGAGGAAATAAAATAAAGTTAAACAGACTCACATCTTTGATTAAATCTGGGGCCTACAAATATCTGTGATTTGGTGTTAATAATGTTTTATTGTAAGAATTAAATTAGCAGAGGCATGAGTCAGACGGCACGCTCTCGTGGGGGTGTCTCTTCCTCTCTGTCCTGCTGTGCAGGGAGTACTGATAAATTGATCGTATCAGTGTGTGATCGCCCGCGAGCCAGACTAAACAGCAACAAACAGATTTATTACTGGGGGAATATTGATGAGGACGCACAGTAGCTTAGTAGTTAGTTTAAAAACAGTTGACCACAAAAAGGATTGGTTCAGTAATCCATTAGTAAACCTGTCACAATAAACAATAAATCAATTAATCACATGATAAATTAAATTATCGACCTCATTTTCAATTATCGGCTTTATCGTTTCTTCGTGTTTCTTTCTTTCTACTGAAGACACTGGATGACAAGAGTCAACTCCAGTGCTCTTTACTGTCTCCTCCCTTTCTCTTTTCTCTTTAAAATACATTTTAACGATCCAAAATCGCGTTTTTGGATCGTTAAAAGAAGCTGAGCTGAGAAGCTAAGCTACGAGCTAAGCTAACAGGCCAGCCTCGGGAAAAACCTCCGTCTTGTCAAAGCTCCAAAATTCACGGTTGAAACCCGTGCCTTTGTCTAAAAAGTTGTTTTTCTCTGCAAAAAGCAGCTGAGAACTTGTTTACTGATGTTTTATTAAACGATTTGTGTGACAAATGCTATGCTAAATAGCTCAAACCACATCAAGCGTCTGCCATTTTGAGAACCAAAGAGAGACAGCCCATGTCACGTCAAGGGGCCTCCCTCCCATTTTTCTTAGAGAGACGCTGCTCTTTCCCTCATTATCCATTCCTTGGTTCAAACAGTCTTGTACTGCCATCCAGTGGTCAAAAAGGTACTACACACAAAATTAACCAACATTTCTTCTTAAATTTGACAATAATTTCTAATTATTGTCAAATTTCAAACAATATTATTGTTTATCGCAATAATTCCTGAGACAATTAATCGCCCAGAAAAATTTGTTATTGTGACAGCCTATCCATTAATGGATAGGCTGTCACGTGCATCGTGCACTCACTTTCAGTCCAGCTGAGTTCTGCTCTGCCTCTTTTGGTTCAGCTCAAAGCTCACACCGGAGCGAAACGTGGACGCTTCAGCTGGGATTTATGAACCTGTAGAGGAAGAACTGGTCTGAGCAGCCACTTCATTGTGAGAACTGGTTCTTAATGGACCCACCTGGAACAGAACACGTTGGTCGTTCAGGGTACATCAGGAACAGTGTACGCTTTTTATTTTGAAAAGTGTAAAGATCTGACAAGTCAGAGATGGCAGAATAATATTTGTGTTCAATAGGAGGCAGTGTGTCGTCGTCGTTTTTAATAGAGTTTCATATTAGATTATCTACTTTTATAGCAAGGAAATAATCTTAAAGTATGATTTCTTTGAATTACACTTTTGGGTTCTGTTTATTGTGTTTATGATTCAATGCAAAACAATAATAATAATGATTTAGAGGTAACAGATCATTGTAAAACTTGGTTTATTTACATAATGACTAACTGCTGGATGTCTGAGCTGCTGGCTTTCAGTAACTGTGGTCCCCTGATCAGTTTAGCTGTATAGCTCTGGTGAAATATGAACCTGCTGGCAATATACTGGTAATAATTTTCAAATTTGTGTTCACATAAACCACCAAAACAGTTTTGAGATTCGAGTTGTTTTAAAACAGCAGTGCTCCGTTTGTTCTTGACCCCACTTGAACTCTGTTGTAAATTTAGTCACAGTTGAACTTTTCATAGTTCCTACACAATATTTTAAAGTATGGATTACTAAGCCTTTTTTGTGTTACCATAAATGGTAATGTAGTTGAACTAGTTTGCATGTGTTGACTGATCCATATACAGCAGGCTATTTGTGCATGTTCACTTGACAATTTGTGTGTGTAATATAATCCTACTTGTGCAGTTTAAAATGTGTACATTTGAAAACTTACTATGAATTTTTTCATCTTGTACACATGTGTGAATACTTCTGAGAAAAATCTGTCTTGATTTTTCTTCATAGAATGTGGTGTTTAACTGTATGGAACCACTTCTTTGCTGGTTCTATTTTGTTTCTGTGTTTACATCAGCATGGCTTTAATATAATTTATGTCCCTTGTGTTGCCAGATTGGACCAGCAGTGCAGTGCCATCCCCTGCCAGGGTATGATGTTGGGGAATCAGTGGCGTGAACTGGAAAACATGAAGGCTCAGTTTGTTGCTGTCAATGGAATCCGTAAAGTGGCCTGTGTGGTATGTTCAACAAATATACATCATCTTTGTATACTGATTAGCCACAACCCTGATGAATAAAGTAAACTGATCATGTCACATTACAAAGTTCTTCTGTCAAACCCAGTTAGCATTTACAATATGTGTTGATCCAACTCCAAAGGATCTGCTGTGACAAACGTGACAACACCCCCTCAAGTCTTGTGTCCATAACTCGATTGGTTAGAGTTATGTTGCTGATGTGGAGACAAAATATTTGGAATATGGTTTGAATGTTGTGGCTTATCTAGGCATCGTTTATTTATTTATTTTTAATTATGTGAATAAATTGTATTGCAGTGTTCCTTTATTGGTTTCTCAGATTATTATTAGGTCTTTGGTATATACATTTATCTGCCAGCATAAACGTAATGCGATGCTGCCAAATGTTGACTGCTTCTTTTTTTCCCTGTTTGGCAGCTAAGTTCCAATTTAAGACACATTCGTGTTTTTGAGATGGATGTAGAAGATGAGGACGACGAGGGCGTTGACTCACAGAACGTCAGCACTGACCAAGATGGTCTGGAAACTACTGTAATCAGCCAAGGGCCAGCAGAGGAAAGTTTGGAGTTTGAAGGGGAAGCTAAAGAGCAAGAAAGAGATGTGTTTCAGAAAACTGTGGAGCACCTTAAGTCGGAGGAAGCCCTGTGAACGCTGATTTAAACTAACGAGCACCACCTCCTCAACCCCCTAAAAAATAAATTAACGTTTGAAATAATCGTTTTAAAAATAGTTTTGCTTTTTGTACTTTTAAAGCAGGTGGATAAATTCAACTCTAATCATAAAAAGATTTTTTTTTGTTACTCACTACATATTTTAACTTTGTGTGCTTGTAATTTCTGCTTATAGGCATGTGGTTCATATTGTTTGGGTTCACAGGAAGCTGTTACTTATATCCCAACAGTTGCCTGGTGAGGCTGGTCCATCCCAGACAGGTTGCCAGTTTTAGGGCCAACACAAAGACAAAATAATGTGTGATCTCACAGGCCCTTTAAGGTTTCAGATTCGTCAGTCAACGTCAAAGTTCATGCTCAGTAGGCCAGGACAATGTTCAGTCAGGTCATCTGGACAGTTTCTTTTTGCTGAGACGTTTTGTCCTTCATCCAAAGGACTTCTTCAATCCGAGGAGCCAATTCAATTTCAATTCAGTTTATTTATATAGCGCCAAATCACAACAAAGTTGTCTCAGGGCACTTTACAGGAACATTCACATAAAAGCCAATGAGTAAAGTTCTCTATCTAAGGAATCCAGCAGACAAGTTGAATATTGGTTTGTTGCAGTCTCCCATCCTGAGCAAGCACAGTGGAAAGGAAAAACTCCCTTTTTAAAAGGAAGAATCCTCCAGCAGAACCAGGCTCAGGACAAGCGGCCATCTGCTTTGACCGGCTGGTTGAGAGGACAGGAAGGAGAGACAGACGAACACAGAATGGTAGGTCCAGGTATAAGTCCAGGTATAAGTCCAGGTCTATCTGAACGACAAAAAAACACGTTAAGGATAGAAAAAATAATTACAAATACAAAACAGGTTGAGCAGAGTAAGTAAAGACAGTAGCAGAGTGAAAATTGTGGTCAGTTTGTCCTCCAGCAGTCTAAGCCTGTAGCAGCATAACTAAGGGACAGCTCAGGAAACCCAAGCCGACCCTAACTATAGGATTTAACAAAAAAGAAGGTGTTGCGTCTAGTTTTAAAACTGGATAATGTGTCAGCCTCACGGATAGAGATTGGAAGTTGGTTCCACAAGAGAGGAGCCTGATAACTAAAAGATCTTCCTCCCATTCTGTTTTTGTAAATTCTAGGAACCACAAGTAAACCTGCAGTCTGAGAGCGAAGTGCTCTGTTAGGAAAATATGGAACAATAAGATCTGTAATATAAGATGGAGCTAGGTTGTTGAGAGCTTTGTACGTTAGAAGTACAAACCGGATTCCAAAAAAGTTGGGACACTAAACAAATTGTGAATAAAAACTGAATGCAATGATGTGGAGATGGCAAATGTCAATATTTTATTCGTAATATAACATAGATGACGGATCAGAAGTTTAATCTGAGTAAATGTAACATTTTAAAGGAAAAATATGTTGATTCAAAATTTCACAGTGTCAACAAATCCCAAAAAAGTTGGGACAAGTAGCAATAAGTGGCTGGCAAAAGGAAATTGAGCATATAACGAACAGCTGGAAGACCAGTTAACACTAATTAGGTCAATTGACAACATGATTGGGTATAAAAAGAGCTTCTCAGGGTGTCGTGTCTCTCAGAAGCCAAGATGGTAAGAGGATCACCAATTCCACCACTGTTGCGCAGAAAGATAGTGCAGCAATACCAGAATGGTGTTACCCAGCGTAAAATAGCAAAGATTTTTAAGTTATCATCATCAACCGTGCATAACATCATCAAAAGATTCAGAGAATCTGGAACAATCGCTGTGCGTAAGGGTCAAGGCCGTAAAACTCTACTGGATGCTCGTGATCTCCGGGCCCTTAAACGTCACTGCACCTCAAACAGGAATGCCACTGTCAAGGAAATAACAGAATGGGCTCAGGAATACTTCCAGAAAGCATTGTCAGTGAACACAATCCACCGTGCCATCCACCGTTGCCAGCTGAAACTCTACAGTGCAAAGAGGAAGCCATTTCTAAGCAAGCTCCACAAGCTCAGACGTTTGCACTGGGCCAGGGGTCATTTAAAATGGAGTGTGGCAAAATGGAAGACTGTTCTGTGGTCAGATGAGTCACGATTTGAAGTTCTTTATGGAACACTGGGACGCCATGTCATCCGGACCAGAGAGGCCAAGGATAGCCCAAGTTGTTATCAACGCTCCGTTCAGAAGCCTGCATCACTGATGGTATGGGGTTGCATGAGCGCTTGTGGCATGGGCAGCTTGCATGTCTGGAAAGGCACCATTAATGCAGAGAACTATGTTCAGGTTCTAGAACAACATATGCTCCCATCTACACGTCATCTCTTTCAGGGAAGACCCTGCATTTTTCAACACGATAATGCCAGACCACATTCTGCAGCAATCACAACATCATGGCTACGTAGGAGAAGGATCCGGGTACTGAAATGGCCAGCCTGCAGTCCAGATCTTTCACCTGTAGAGAACATTTGGCGCATCATAAAGAGGAAGGTGCGACGAAGGCCCAAGACGATTGAACAGTTAGAGGCCTGTATTAGACATGAATGGGAGAGCTTTCCTATTTCTAAACTTGAGAAACTGGTCTCCTCTGTCCCCAGACGTCTGTTGAGTGTTGTAAGAAGAAGGGGGGATGACACACAGTGGTAAAAATGGACTTGTCCCAACTTCTTTGGGATTTGTTGACGCCATGAAATTTGGAAACAACAGATTTTTCCCTTAAAATGATACATTCTCTCAGTTTAAACTTTTGATCTGTGATTTGTGTTCTATTCTGAATAAAATATTAGATGTTGGCACCTCCACATCATTGCATTGTTTTTATTCACAATTTGTTTAGTGTCCCAACTTTTTTGGAATCCGGTTTGTAGGATTTTGAATTCTATTCTGGATTTGACAGGGAGACAATGGAGAGAAGCTAAAGCTGGAGAAATATGATCTCTCTTACTAACTCCAGTTAAGACTCTGGCAGCACATTTGATCAACTGAAGATGTTTTAAAGAAGTATTTGGACATCCAGATAATAAACCTTTGCAATAGTCCAGTCTAGACGTGACAAATGCATGAACCAGTTTTTCTGCATCAGGCACCAAACAAACTGAGTCCCACAAGCAGCACACTCCCATAGTGGGGGAAAAAACCAGTTTGTTGGTGATAAGCTGGCTCATCTTGATGGTTTGGTGGCTCTTCAGATTGAAGAAGTCCTTTTGGATGAAGGACAAAACCACAAAGGGCGAGGTTCTGGCAGATGTACCTGAAAGACAAAAAAACAAAAATAATTACAAATACAAAACAGGTCAAGTAGAGAATGTAAAGACAATAGTATAGTGAAGAAATGTGAGTTTAATCAAAATGATTGGTTGTTGGAATATAAATACTTGGAAGTTCTTTGCACCGTAAGGAAAATCAGGCAGATTTTGTTGAAGCTAAAGTTTAAATTATTCATCCATTATTACCCACTTCTTCCTTTTCAGGTCGCTGGTGTCCATAACAGTTCATGACTAATCCTTAAAGAGGAAGTAAACAACTTGACAAAGTAAATTTTGCGTACTTTTTCTGTTTGAGTTTATGATCACGGGCGAGATTCTGGCTCAAGTGGAGGAGTTCAAGTATCTTGGGCTTTTGTTCACAAGTGAGGGAAGAATGGAGTATGAGATTGACAGATGGATTGGTGCAGCGTCTGCAGTATTATGGACTCTACTCCTCTTCCACATCGAGAGGAGCCAGTTGAGGTGGTTCAGGCATCTGGTAAGGATGCTCCCTGGACTCAGGACACGATGGAGAGACTACGTCTGTCGGCCTGGGAACGCCTTGGGATCCTCCCAGAAGAGGTGGCTGTGGAAAGAGATGTCTGCACCGCCCTGCTCAAGCTGCTGCCCCCACGACTTCTGAACAAGCAGAAGAGGATGGATGGATGGATGGATGGATGGATGGATGGATGGATGGATGGATGGATGGATGAAGTTTATGATCAATGCAGATTCTTGTCATTTCAACCCACCAATCAAGAAAAATATGTGTTAAATTTTTTTATGGGATGGCCTTGTCAGGCAGGAAAATTGCACAATCATTGCAACATGTTTCAGTCAGGTCATCGGGACATTTTTTAATTTTTTGTGCTGAAAACAATCCAGGTATACAATGCTTGATGGTATACCTGGATTATTAAGCATGGACTTTGTTGTTTTCAACCAGTTTGACACAACTGTCAACAAGGAAGAGGGCCAGCAATGGAGGAGGGGCGTGACAAAGAGACCATCTTAGCACCAACATAACTGATTTGTTCCACTTTGGAGTAAGCTGTTTGGGGGAAGAATCAGTTTTGTGTTGTGTGTTTCCTTGACTGATGAAGCCTTCAGGATCAAAGGCGAAACGTTTTGGCACAAAAAAAAGAAACTGTCCAGATGACCTGACTGAAAAATGTTGGATTGTATACCTGGATTATTGAGCATGGACTTTGTTGCACAATCATTGGTTGGAATCAAAATTGCAGCTGAGTCAGCAAGAGTAAAACATTTAAAAATGAGCACTAACCAGTAGACTTTTCCAACCCCACCGCTGAATAAATCTTATTTAGTTAAAATAATACAATAGTTAACCTAATGAACTATAAATAACCAAATGTACTTGTACTTGCTATGTAGTCAGTCTTACCTGAAAAAAAAAAAAAGGAACTGTTTATTAGGACAGGCCTTTAATGCAATCATCCCACTGCAGCTTATAGTGAAATTTTCTCTGATTAAAGTGGAAACCTACTCTGACTGAATTCTGGACTTTCTGTCAGAAAGATAAATGTGTCAACAATAGAGAAACACACCATGAGCTCTGGAGTCCCTCAAAGATATGTGAACAGTCCTTTGCTCTTGGCAGAAGTCAGTACTCTGAAATTCAGCACAAACCAGCTCATTAAGTTTTTTTTTTTTTGCAACAGTGATGGGACTCATTGACATTGATTATGAAAAATCTTAAATCGATAGAAAAGTCCATGTGGTGCGGAGATTATTATTTCTCTTAATGTCAACAAAACTAAGGAGATTATTATTGCCCTCTTCCTATGTGCACATTAGCAGTTCCCCAATGGAAAGGGGGATTCTCTTCCCCTCTTATATAAAATAAAATTGTTCAAGATCCCTTTCACTATTTTTATAAGATGTTTAACTTCCTGTAATCTAAAAGGCAAGTTTGCATAGTAATACAAGCAACTAGTACTTTGTAGATGCTACAACGTAGCGGCTGTGGCTGAGTGCTTAGAGCAGTCGTCCTCCAATGCGAGAGTTGGTTCGAATCCAACAACAGTCACATGCCAAAGTGTCCATGGGCAAGACACTGAATCCCTCATTGATGTGTGTTCCATCAGTGTATAAATGTGATAAAGCACTGATTAGTCTCTTTAGAATGATTTGTTCAATTAGCTTAGTAGAGATCTAGTAGAGTGCTGTATGAATGGGTAAATGAGGACACAGGTTGTTGTGTAAAGAGCTTCAAGTATATTGAAATAAGATAGAAAGGAGCTATATAAGTACAGTCCATTTACCATTTACAACGTCAATCCTTAGGCAGTAAAGTTAAATCTCAAGTTACACTCATTTGGACAAGAAAAACATTTAAAAAATAAAATGAAGTGAATTAATTAATTCATTCATTCCTCTTCTTTCAAGTGCACACCTCTACATCTCGCTCTTCCACCTGTTCCCTGCTCTCACCACAGATCACAAGCAAACATCACGGGGATTCCTGTCTGACCTCATCTGTTAGTCTGTCCATCACCAGAGCAAACAAGAAGGTGCTCAGAGCAGATCCTTAATGGAATCCCATCTCCACCTTGAAGCTATCTGTCACTCCTACAGCACATCTCACCACTTTCCTGCTGTTCTCGCATGTCCTGTACCAGTCACTTCTCTGCTTCTAAAGGTTTTTTGATACATCACAGCTCCTTCCTTGGCACCTTGTCATATGAATTTTGCTAAATCCACAAAGTTCTTTCTGACCCTCTCTGTACTTCTCTATCAACATCCTCAATGCAAAAATGGTGTTTGTGGTGCTTTTTCTCGGCATGAAACCAAACCATACTGTTGCTCACACATAGACACCTCTTGTCTAATTTTCCACAACTCTCCCAGACCTTCAATGTGTGAATCATCATCTTAATTCCTCTGTAGTTTCTACAATCTGTACATCACCATTGTTCTTAAAAATGGGTGCCAGCACACTTCTCCTCTATTCCTCAGGAATTTTCTCACCCTTAAAAATGCCACTGAATAATCAAGTCAAAAACCTCACTACTATCTCCTACATTTCCATACCTCCCCTACTGGTATGTCATCAGGTCCTGTCTTCCCCTTCTTCATTCTCTTCTTTCTGAACTTCATTGTCATTAATCTTTCCCACTCCTTGGTCCATAATTGGGGGCAGCACGGTGGCGCAACTGGTAGAGCTGCTGCCTCTCAGTGAGCAGGTCCTTGGTTCAAACCCCGGTCCAGGGGCCTTTCTGGGTGGAGTTTGCATGTTCTCTCCGTGCATGTGTGGGTTTTCTCCGGGTACTCCGGTTTCCTCCCACAGACCAAAAACATGCATGTTAGACTGATTGGTAACTCTAAATTGTCCCTAGGTGTGAGTGAGAAAGTGAATGGTTGTTTGTCTTGTTTGTTTCCATGTGGCCCTGTGATGGACTTGCGACCCATCCAGGGTGTACCCCGCCCCTCGCACAGTGATTGCTGGACATGGGCACCAGCGACCCCCGTGACCCAAAATGGAATAAGCGGGTAAAGATAATGGATGGTCCGTAATTGAAAAATTATTGGATTTTATACCTGGATTATTGAGCATGGACTTTGGTGTTTTGAAGCAGTTTGACATGACTGTTGACAAGTGAGAGGGTGGGCACTGGAGGAGAGGGTGTGCCCCAGAGACCATCTTAGCACCAACATAACTGGGGGTTTTTTCTTCCCACTTTGGAGTAAGCTGTTGGGGGAGAAGCAGTTTCGTTTGGTGTTTCCTCAGACTGATGAAGGCTGGATGGAAGGTGAAACGTCTCAGCACAAAAAAAGAAAACGTCCAGATGACCTGACTGAAAATTGTTGGATTTTATACCTGGATTATTGAGCATGGACTTGTGTCCTTGGTCCACACTTTCTAGGATCTCTACTCTGTTATCTCTCATAGTCCTCATTAGTTCCTCAAAGTACTCCTTCCATCTTCCCATAACACTATCCTCCTCACTTGTTCGAACATTACCATTCCTATATTTAGCAAGCCTAACCTGCTGCACATCCTTTCCAGCCTGATCCTGCTGTCTTGCCAGTCAACAAAAGTCCTCAGTTTTCAGCCTTTTTTACAATTCATCATACAACTTTCTGTTTTGCCTTTGCTAATTTTTTATTTGCTCTATGTTGCATCTCCTTATACTGCTGTCTACTCCATTTAATCCTCTGTCCCAGACTCCCAGTTATTTATTTTGGCTATCCTGTCCTCTGGATAACTTCATGCACTTCACTATTCCACCAGCAGGTTTCCATCCTTTATCTGTACTCGCTTCTTCTTCTGGCGCCCATATCCAGCCATCACTGTGCAAGAGGCGGGGGACTCATGACAGGGCCACATACTAGACAGACTAAAGAAGCAAACAACCACTCACTCTCTCACTCACACCTAGGGACAATTTAGTGTTTTTGCATGCATGTTTTTAAACTGTGGGAGGAAAGCCACACATGCACTGACAGAATATGCAAACTCCGCCCAGAAAGCCCCCCAGCAAGGATTTGAGCCGACAACCTGCTTGCTGAGAGGCAGCAGCTCTACCAACTGTGCCGCCTAGGTTTCCTTATCATGTACTCTGTGTCCAGATGACACACCAAGTCTCTCTAATCACTGTTGCTGTAGTAGCCCAGACATCTGGAAGCTTCTAACAACTCTCTGAACTCAACACATTCTTCTCTGCTCAATTTCTACGTGAGCTCTAGGGAGGGCGGGCTCTCCATACCATACTGCTGACACATCTGACTACGCAGTTTACGGCCTTCCCACTCTGACGTCATTATACGTGCGCGAGCAAATAGGTGTTGGTTACGTACTCGCTCTCGACCTCAAACGTGTTGACGTATTATCCACCGCCTGTTGGACAGTCTTTCACAGTTGGTGACGAGTATTATGAAAATGGCCTCGACCCTGCTTGAAACCCCGAGTATCCAGAGAAGATGACGAGATTAGGCTTGTTAAGGCAGATGAACACCAACGTGTCTTCTTTAAACACGTAGACGAAAGTGGAATAAGGGAAAAGAAAGAGAGTCTTGGCTAAGGAAACACTCCGGAGCGCATTTCGTTCGGCGGCTGAGGATTCACCATGGAGGATATTAACTCTAATATCAATGCGGACTTGGAGGTACGGAAGCTCCAGGACTTGGTGAAAAAACTCGAGCAGCAAAACGAACAGCTTCGGAGTCGGTCTACGATGTTGTCTTCGTCTGGAGCGATGTCGGAGAACCACAGACCCCTCAGTGCCGGAAACGACCCGTCGTCCCTGTCTGTGGGGATGGCAGCCGGTCTGGCCGGCTTCCCTGGGGTGGGGTTCGGCTGCACGGGCGGGTATGGTGGGCTGCTGGAGAACAACCGCTGCTCGACAGCCAGGCTGTCCTACGACGGCATCACTTTCAGGAGGGCGTACGAGTGCGAGGGGGCATCCGCACCCACCTCTGTGTCGAGCATGAACTCACTTTACTCGGACAACGCCGATGGGGAACCCTCGGTTCTAGATGAAGTGGACATCTTAGATCTTGAAGACATGGACTGTCTCAACGAAGACGAGGACAGCTGGTGAGTGACAGGCCTGTCTGGGGAGGAAAGTTGCCTGGAAAGCTGTGCTTGTAGGGCTTGGTGTCGGCTTTAATGGTCTGTGGACAGCTGCTCTACACATTATCAACGTATGCCATTAACAATAATCTCAGTAATTTGTCTTTTAATCTGAAGGAGCCTCACTGGAGCACTGAGGGATCTTATTGTTTGGGCACCTCATGTGGATTGACATCTGACAATGCTCAGCTGTTTGGAGTCAGGACCCTGAGCTCCATTTTGCTTGTGGTGTTTTTCTTGTAGCAGTTTACTTGGCATGTCCGGGCAGTGGTAGCAGGAGACCAGTGAGACACATCAAGCTTGTTTCCCTGCCCAGCAGCCATGTGGGAGATGTAGTCATGGTTACGGTGTAGTCCTCTGAGCTCCCTTTAGCACAGCACTTGACACTCGGCTAATTGCTCTGCAGTGCCAACTGAGATAGAAATATAAAGCTGTGAAATAGGACAGTCATCTTGTGCTAAAATAAAGTTATAAAGCTGATTTTAAGCTTTGCATTTTCAGGACAGTATCAGTGTCTTGCGAGCACATATCCAAATCAGTCCGTAGTATTTTTCATTTAAACTACTGTAAGTACTCTTCGTCTTAAAGATTACATGAGATGTATTTTAGAAAGTCAGTATAATAATAAATCCTAATTAATTTTAGCCAACACAAAAATGGTGATATCGCAGTCAATTTTACAAATATTGAGCTAAAAGTTGATGTGATAGTATCAGTGTATATATATATATATATATATATATATATCTATATATATATATATATATATATATATAATGCTATATATATATATATATATAAAGAGCAACTAAGCATGGCATCTTGATATATTGCATTAGATTTAGCATAACGTTAAATTCAAGGTTTAAACAAAATGACTATACTGTATTGCTGACTGAACTTAGACATAACGATTGTCCCTCCTTAAAAATGCTTATGTTTTGCCAGGGAGAGCTCGTTTAATTGGCTTATGCTGTGTGCGGGACACTTAATAGGCAACATCAGTGTCTAGTTTTTGCTGCAACCTGATATTAAAGCTACTTAAGTAACTAAAGTATATAATTCATATCAAGATTGTAAATTTGCTCCATAGTCTAACAAAGTCCCCATCTCATTATAATTATTGAGTTCCCATGTAATAAGGCTAACTCCCATCTTTGTGTTGCTAGCAGCAGACTCCCTTGATGTCAGCATACTTTCACAGATTGCTCACTCATGCTTGGCAGACCTAGTGTCATTCTGCCCAGACGGTTTACTCTGCCCTTTGCATCAGATTGATTTCTGGGATTGTCCAGCAGTGCCTCGTTTTCTCCAGATCTCCTGACAGACTCCTGCAATCCCATGAAGTAGCATCAGGGTTTTTAAAATGCTCCCTAGTGTCCACCATGCGACTGAGCGTAAAGATGTATATTTATGAAGCACTGTACAGCACGTGAATGACTGTCAGTGCATTAATAAACAATGGAAATGCACAGTCCTGATTTCAGGTTTGTATTTCCTCACACAAGCTTTACTTTTCCCTTCAGCGTCACTGCTATGGTCCTGAAAGTATATTTAGTTGATGTTTTTCTTAGTTCATATCTTAGATGTTATTACTGTTTTTCTTATACATTTTATTGTTGGATGTAACTGGGACCTTGTGTACATAATTTCGCTCCACCACATGTACCACATGAGGTGCGAATGACAATAAAGAATCTCTGACTCTGACTGACTCTGAAAGGCTTCTTCCTCCATGGCTTCCACAGTCCTGACAGCTGCTGACTCAGGTTCCTCCTCTGAGTAGAAACTACCTTTTCTCTCCTCAGAACTAGGGTGCACCGATTACAGTTTTCTGGCCGATCACCAATTTCTAAAAAGTTTGACCTGCCGATTTTGGCTGATACCGGTTTTGTTTTATAAGCGACACTGTCAGGTGTTATAAGGTCACAATGCACCTTCACTTTTCTAATATTATTGTATTGCAAAACATACCCTTGAACAACATCCTAGAAACAATACAAACTTGTTTTAACTGGCCATGAGGTAGTGCTCTGAAATATAAACGAAGTTCAGACAATTGTTATTAAAACTAAAAAAATCTGTAAAATAGTTTTTTCATGCAAGTATTGGCCGATTTCCAGTTTCCCAAAATCAAGGAAATCGGGGCTGATAAATCGGCCGGCGGATTTATCAGCGCACCCCTTCTCCAAACCATGAACAGATGATTGTTTCAGAACTGACCCACAGATACTAGTGCTTTTTGCTCACAGTTTGTAGCCAAACTTTACTCTTTGGTGATCTTTTGCTCATTCAGAGGTTTTTGACACTTCAGTCAAATACAGCTGACTAATCATTAAACTTACTACCATTCTATTTCTCACTTTTACTTCAGTATTTATATTTTTAGCATAATTTTCTATGAAAGAACATGGGCTCACAATTTGTGAATGCCTCCCTGGCTTTTCCTCGTTATCGCCTGCTAGTTTTGCAATTTGTGGCTAAAAATGGTTCCAAAAAATATTGCCTTAAAAAAGGTTAGAAAGGCATGAGCTGTCAGACCTGGTTGGTATTTAGAAGAACAAGTCAGGATTGATGTGAATTGGATTGTTTATTTGGATTTAAACTAAGTATGTGTATTTAGTAGGGCTGGGCGATATCTCGATATTTTTAAAATATTGAGATACATTTTTTTGTGATATAAGTCAAGACTATCTCGATATAAAACAATATATTTTTATACTTTGAAATCCTGCCGTCTTCTTTCTCCTACTCGCCCCCCTCCTTCTACTTCCTTGAACACAAACACAGCCTTCAGCTGCGCTCCCCCTCCCCTTCCTTCTTCTCCAGGAGGTGGACAGGCAGGAGGAGAGGAGACATTTAGCAGACAGCAGCTGAGCATGCATGAAGCTGCAGCTCCGACAGACCTGTCTCCTTCCTTGAAGCAAACCACAGTTAACAAGACTAAAGCGTTAGCCATGTTGTTAGCCGCTAAGGACTGTATCTTTAGTGATATGATAAACTGCTGATTTATTAATGTCATGCTTCCTCTCTCTGTCCCTCTAAAAGGCACACATAACGGCTAAATGAGTTCTGAACTGTGGTTTGCTTCAAGGAAGGAGACGGGTCTGTCGGAACTGCAGCTTCACGGTTCCAAGTGGAGGCTCACTACTGCAGTTCACACACACTTGCTAACATGAAGGCAGCACAGCTGAATGGACTATAGCTCCTTTCCATCTTATCAAGACACTCAAAGCCCTTTACTACACAATCTGTGCCCTCATTTACCCATTCATACAATCTACTAGATCTCTACAAAGAATAATCAGAGCTTTATCACATTCATACACCGATGGGACACACATCAGAGGCAATGAGGGGTTCAGTGTCTTGCCCATGAACACTTCAGCATGTGACTGCTGGTGGAATCGAACCCCCAACTCTCCCATTGGAGGACTACTGATCTAGCCTCTCAACCACAGCTGCCCCCAGCTGAAGAGAATTATTATTTAATATATGTAAATAGATGTCTAAAAAAATAAACTATTTAATATATGTAAATAGTTTATTTCTTAGCCGTTTATTTTGTACAGCTACAGCTAAATAAATGTGCCTGTGTGACAATTGGGACAAAACTTTGACTCAAATATATATTTTTTATTACTTTATGGAAAAAAAAAAATATTGACAAATATATTGTATATCGCGATTTTTGTAAAAAATATAGAGATATTACTTTTGGTCCATATCGCCCAGCCCTAGTATTTAGGAAAGGGAGTGGGCGGTGGCTAATTGAAATTAAACTGAACTTAACTAAAAATTACCTACTGACCATCTATGTTAAGTTAGTTGTTTTCTTTCCCCAGGTTATATGAGGCTAAACTGAACAGTCCACTGCAGAAAGCCTTGAGTCCTATTGTCTGGTGTCGGCAGACCCTTGACAGCCCCAGTCCTGAGATAGAATCAGCCAAGCGCTCTCTGATCCACAGGCTGGACCTCACCATGTCAGGTAAACAGAAGCTTGCTTGATGCTTTAGCAGGAAACTTTTCAAAAACACAAGAAAAAACTAAATGTTTTTCTCCATGGCTGAGCTAAAATCATGTTGTTGTTAGAATTACATTAACAAGATATTATCTGATTGGATGTGAGTAAAAATGCAAATGATTTTATTGTTTTTGAAAATTATAGCTAAATATTGAAATTTGTAGACGGCCCCTAAATCCTCGCTTCACATCCAGTGTTGTTTCTTTCTGTATTTTTTTTTTTGTTCTCTCAATTCAATTCAGTTCAGTTTGTTTATATAGCTCCAAGTCACAACAGAAGTCGTCTCGGGGCACTGAACAAAAACAAACATTCATATAAAAAAGACAATTAGTTAAAGTTTTCAATCTAAGTAAACAACAATCCAGGTACATTGGAATTCTTCTGCAGAGTTCTCAGTCATAGTAAAAACATTGAAACAACACTAAATAAATAAAATAAAAATATGAACAAAGTGGTTTCTATCTCCACTTAGGCCTGCCACGATAACACATTTTGCTGGGTGATTAATTGTCTCAGAATTTATTGTGATAAACGATAATATGTCAAAGACAAATCTCCATTTCATTGAATGTTATGGACAATAAAGTTGAATTGATTGATTGATTGATATTGTTTGAAATTTGACTACAATAATAATTGTCAAATTTAAGAAGAAATGTTTGTCACTTTGTTTTGTGTGTAATACCTTTTTTTTTTTTTTACCACCGGATGGCAGTATAAGACTGTTTGAACTGAAGGATGGATAGTAAGGGAGTGAACAGCGTGTCTCTTTAAGAAAAATGGGAGGGAGTCCCCTTGACGTGACATGGGCTGTCTCTTCGGTTTCAAAATGGCGGACACTCGTGTTGTTTGAGCTCTTTAGCATAGCATTGTTCACACCAAGCTTTTAATAAAAATCAGTAAATAAGTTCTTAGCTTCTTTTTGCAGAGAAAAACAAATTTTTAGACGAAGGCATGGGTTTCAACTGTGAATTTTGGAGCTTCTGCAAGACAGAGTTTTTTTCCCAAAGTCAGCCTGTTAGCTTAGCTCATAGCTTAGTTTCTCAGCTTAGCTGCTTTTAACCGTAGATATTATTTAGGTCTATGCTTTTAACGATCCAAAAACGTGATTTTGGATGGTTAAAATGGATTTTAAAGAGAAAGGGAGGAGTCCGTGAAGAGCACCTGAGTTTAGCTTTTTGTTATCCAGTGTCTTCAGTAGAAAGAGAGAGACACAAATAAATGATAAAGCCAATAAATGAATATGAGGTTGATAATTTTCATTTATCATGCGATTAATTGATTTATTGTTTACTGCGACAGGCCTGTCTCCACTGTACAGAAAGTAAACCATGTCACATGACCAGCAGGGCTGGACGATATGGCCAAAACTTTTATCACAAAACATTTCTTAATTTCGGTTTATCGATATAATTCAATATTGATATAAACAATATAAAAGCCTCAGAAAAACTTTACAAACTATACAATAAATTAATGTTCACCTTTTATTTGTATTTAGTTTTCCAAAATTTTGAAATCATTGTCAAATAAACAAAATTCTCAACTTTGTCAATATTAATAGTTTTAACTTCAAACAACATCTTTAAAATTGACAGTATTGAAATTCATAGTTAATGAAATAACATTTTGGGTGTCGTTATTGATGAGAAGCTGACATGGAAATCTCACGTAAAATACTTAAGAATAAAAATAGCAAAATCAATTGCATTACTGTATAAAGTAAAAGTTTTTGAATGACAAATCTTTGTATATATTGTATAATGTAAGGATTGTTCCATATTTAATCTATTGTATTAAAGTTTGGGGAAAAGCATGCAAAACAATTACAAATCCTATTTTCATTTTACAAAAAAGAGCTATAAGAATTATTAGTAGGAAGCGCTATGGTCACCCATAAATAAATATAAATTATTATTAATATAAATATATTATTTCATCAGTTGAAATTATAAAAATTTTATGATTTAGTTGAATATAGTATTTTACAAGTCATGTATAAAGCTCATAAAAATATTACCCCCAAATATTCAATTAAAATTTGTAAAAAAATAAATAAAATAAATAAGAGTCAATATAACCTTAAGGGAATGGAAATGTTTGTAAAACCTCCATTTAGAACTAGTCTGAAGGAGCTGCGTTGTAATTCAGGGAGTAGGATTATGGAATTGTCTTGATATCTCCATAAAAATTTCTCAAGCAATTTATATGTTTAAAAAGATGATTAAGTTAAAATTGTTGGGAAGGTATGGTGCCAGGTGAAGGATACTTGAAGTGCTATTTATAAGACTGAGCTGAATACAGCACCTCCCACTGAGGAAGTCTTTCGGATGAAAGACGAAACGTTTCTACAGTTTTTTGGGGGGATTTTTTTATGTCCAGAGGATCAGATTTAACTTTTTTAAATACTTGAAGTTTTTTTGTTTTCAGTTTAGAGAATGCAATTGAAGGTTGTTGTTTGTTTGTAATTATTTTGTATTTTTTAAATAAGGGGCAGATAAGAATTATATTTTCTTCTTTCTGCAACCTTTTCATTCAATGTTTTTTTCTTTCTGATGAATTTGTTTCATTTTAAATTAATGAATAAATGAATTAAGAATTAAAAAAAAAAACATGCAGCGCTGGGGGTGTTGTTTCAGGGACACATTGGCTCAAATGTTTATTGCGCTTCATCTTCTGACTCAGCATATTCTATTGAGTGGAACAAGTTAGATGTGTTCCCACTGCTAGTTACGACCCTCCGTCACACTTTGCAGCACACTAAAACCTGCGGCTTATCAGATCTTGGATAGCCGAACCACTTCTACACCGGCAAATTAGTCTTTCCTCTCTTATCAGCTATGTGATTTGCTTTCTCTTCACTTGTGAAAGCTTGTTCAGTCACATTCTGACGGTCATGGGAACTAATTTTGAAGCAAAACGTAACGCACGTTGGAGCTAACTCCTTCTGGACTTGAGCTCTGCCCAACATCTACAGGTCCTTCTCAAAAAATTAGCATAATGTGATAAAGGTCATTATTTTCCATAATGTAATGATAAAAATGAAACTTTCATATATTTCAGATTCATTGCACACCAACTGAAATATTTCAGGTCTTTAATTGTTTTAATACTGATGATTATGGCATACAGCTCATGAAAACCCAAAATGCCTGTCCCAAAAAATTAGCATATTTCATCCCACCAATGAAAGACAAGTGTTTTTAATACAAAAAACGCCAACCTTCAAATAATCATGTTCAGTTATGTACTCAATACTTGGTCGGGAATCCTTTTGCATGAATGACTGCTTCAATGCGGCGTGGCATGGAGGCAATCAGCCTGTGGCACTGCTGAGGTGTTATGGAGGCCCAGGATGCTTCGATAGCGGCCTTAAGCTCATCCAGAGTGTTGGGTCTTGCGTCTCTCAACTTTCTCTTCACAATATCCCACAGGTTCTCTATGGGGTTCAGGTCAGGAGAGTTGGCAGGCCAATTGAGCACAGTAATACCATGGTCAGTAAACCATTTACCAGTGGTTTTGGCACTGTGAGCAGGTGCCAGGTCGTGCTGAAAAATGAAATCTTCATCTCCATAAAGCTTTTCAGCAGATGGAAGCATGAAGTGCTCCAAAATCTCCTGATAGCTAGCTGCATTGACCCTGTGCTTGATAAAACACAGTGGACCAACACCAGTAGATGACATGACACCCCAGTGACTGTGGAAACTTGACACTGGACCTCAAGCAATGTGAATTCTGTGTCTCCTCTCTTCCTCCAGACTCTGGGACCTTGATTTCTAATGGAAATGCAAAACTTACTGTAATCAGAGAACATAACTTTGGACCACTCAGCAGCAGTCCCAGGCGAGATGCTTCTGATGCAGTCTCTTGTTCAAGAGTGGCTTGACCTGGGGAATGCGGCACCTGTAGCCCATTTCCTGCACACGCCTGTGCACGGTGGCTCTGGATGTTTCTACTCCAGACTCAGTCCACTGCTTCCGCAGGTCCCCCAAGGTCTGGAATCGGCCCTTCTCCACAATCCTCCTCAGGGTCCGGTCACCTCTTCTCGTTGTGCGGCGTTTTCTGCCACACTTTTCCCTTCCCACAGACTTCCCACTGAGGTGCCTTGATACAGCACTCTGGGAACAGCCTATTCGTTCAGCAATTTCTTTCTGTGTCTTACCCTCTTGCTTGAGGGTGTCAATGATGGCCTTCTGGACAGCAGTCAGGTCGGCAGTCTTACCCATGATTGTGGTTTTGAGTAATGAACAAGGCTGGGAGTTTTTAAAAGCCTCAGGAATGTTTTGCAGGTGTTTCGAGTTACGTCGTTGATTCAGATGGTTAGGTTAATAGCTTGTTTAGAGAACCTTTTCATGATATGCTAATTTTTTGGGACAGGCATTTTGGGTTTTCATGAGCTGTATGCCATAATCATCAGTATTAAAACAATTAAAGACCTGAAATATTTCAGTTGGTGTGCAATGAATCTGAAATATATGAAAGTTTCATTTTTATCATTACATTATGGAAAATAATGACCTTTATCATCCATCCATCCATCCATCCATTTTCTTTACCCGTTTATTCCATTTTGGGTCACGGGGGTCGCTGGTGCCCATGTCCAGCAATCACTGTGCGGGGGGCGGGGTACACCCTGGACGGGTCGCAAGTCCATCACAGGGACACATAGAGACAAATGAGACAAACAACCATTCACTCTCTCACTCACACCTAGGGACAATTTAGAGTTACCAATTAGCCTAACATGCATGTTTTTGGTCTGTGGGAGGAAACCGGAGTACCCGGAGAAAACCTACGCATGCACGGAGAGAACATGCAAACTCCACCCAGAAAGGCCCCCGGACCGGGGTTTGAACCAGGGATCTGCTCGCTGAGAGGCAGCAGCTCTACCAGTTGCGCCACCGTGCTGCCCGACCTTTATCATAATATGCTAATTTTTTTAGAAGGACCTGTACGTCACCACG